CGTACCCGGCACCCATCCCAATTGGGTTTGAACCTCATATGAAGAGCTCACAAGTAGAGATGTTAAATGGTCCTTGGCCCGACGGGCCGGCCCGTTTAGCCCGGAAAAAAATAGGGTTAGGGCTTTTTATTGGTAGCCCGTTTAAATCAGGGCTTTTTAGGCCCGGACCGTTTAAACCGAAGCCCGTTAGGGCTAGCCCGAAACCCGCTAGGGCTGGCCCGTTTAACTTGAGTTGGGCGTTGTAAATATTTACAGCAAGTAATTAATATACTCTTAGATTCATTGTATATTATAATTTTGCTATTCCACTTCACATATAAGTATGAGCTGTAACGGATTATATTGATTTTGAAAGATAATTATTAACAATATTCTTATTGTACTCCACACCAAAATATTTAACTCAATCAGAACGACTAATAGGAAACAAATGAGACAAAGACCTAATAAATGAAACATAGTGATAGAATTTATAGTGATATAATATCGTAAAAATTTCCAATGCGTACAAAATAAGTAGTAAAATGGTAATTGTAAGTAATAATTCGAATATTTTTTTCTTTTGAAAAAAAATGTTATTTAAGAGTTTGTAGTATGTGTTCATATATGATGTGTAGTTGTATATATGAAGCGGCAAATACTAAATACCGTTGAAAACAATCATTAATTAGTCGTTGTAATTTTTTATATTTTTTTTTATTTTTATTTTTGATATTTTTTTATACATCATTATTATTATTATTACTATTATTAATATTATTATTAAAGTCCGCTTAGCCCGTTTAGCCCGAAGCCCGCTAGGGTTAGGGTTAGGTCCTTTTATTGGTAGCCCGTTTAAATCCGGGCTTTTTAAGCCCGAACCGTTTAGCCCGAAGCCCGCTAGGGCTAGCCCGTAACCGCTAGGGCTAGCCCGTTTAACATCTCTACTCACAAGTAAAGGGGCGTGCTACCACATCGGCTATACATGGAAAATAGGTCTAACTTATAAGCCTACTGGGCTTCTCTTCTTTCCACCAATTGGTTTTAGGATGAAACCCCATAAAGGTTCATCTAAGTTCACCCTACTTTGGTGCACTTCACATTTGTGGGACTGCATCCTCAACTCCTGTTTCTTCAGAAATCCAAAAGTTACTACACAAATCATAAATTATTTTATTTTCATAAAATTTAATGTATTTAAGAAAAAAAAAATCAAAACTTTTTAAGGTCAACTAGATTGTCTGAATTGAGTGACTATCCATGTTAAATTAGGCCAATTCGGGAAATTTATAAAGTATTTCAAAATA